AACCAAAGCTTAAGATCATATGATTCTTTAGACAGTAAATCTGGTGGTTCAGAGTTGTACACATATTTGGCAGATTATAGGTTTATCACTGACAGCTGATCTTTTAAAGAACTGTGGCTTAATTCCTTTTGTTAACTAATTAAAAAAGAGAAAGAAGTTAAAGCTGTAATTAGACCTATTAAAACATGTATTACTCGCTCAATGGTCTATACAACTAGGATAAATGGGTAATTAGGAGGTTTGTCCAAATATGATTAAAGATAGTCATGTGTCCTAGGCCATCAAACATTTATGTGTGCGTGAGATTGAGAGTAAAGTTAGTATGAAAATGTGAATATAAACCATGTCATACTTTCTAGAGAAAATACATGAACTATCTTTTGGCATATTATAAATATTTAACTCAAATCTTGAAAGCTTTTTTTCAGATGAAAATTCTGAAAGGATTGTATCACACCTGTAGCTTCTGGTGGGTCGTACCATTGGCAACAGTCATCAGACCCGGTCCATCTGACCCCACGATCTACCACTGTTGTTGCCTACGGTCTCCTGATAACTTACGAAATTTAGAAGTTAGCAGGCAGAGTATTTCTAATAGCAATCGGCACATTCCTTGAGGCGTAAGGATTTGTATCCCTTCCAAAACTCATATCTATTTGGGGGGATTGGATTTCTTTTTTGTTTAGGGGGTTAGTCTTCAAATCACAAAGTAGTAAATTCTTCGACTTTAGAGCTAGAGCGTGTTTTTTCCTTCAATATAGTTAGGAGATGGGAAGAAGAGAGCAGGTCCATTGACCTTTTCTGCCTCGCCTACATACGTGTGAGTGCTTTCTCTGTGCACTAGTTTTTGGTGATGGCATCTCTTGAAGGGAAATTCCCAGGAAGACTGTGGCAGTTCTGGGTCTTTGCCGGCCACCATCCTTTCCCTATGTTGATGGTTTATTGTGTGCTGGAATCTTCCCTGGCTTGTGTCTCACCAGCCCCTTCGCGGTGCATACAAGTTGGAGAAGGGGACTCGGAGCACCTTTGCATCCTAAACTGCCCCCAGAGCTCCTAGCAGTTGCATTGTATGGTTCAGGTGTTCCTGTGATAACCCCTCTCCAGCTCTCTGCGTCCAACCAGTGCCTGGGAGCTCTGCGATAGTCCTGGGGCACTTTAGGCTGAAGCACAGGCAAGGAGGGAGATTTCTGCCATGCAATCATTCGAAGAAAACCATTACATCTCTACAATCCAGCAGATGTTGACAGCTCTCATGGAGGTACAGACATCTCTGACATGACTGCTAACCAAAATTAAAAACATAAATAAATTGTTTGCTGTAATAGTTCTTTATTTCAAAAAAAGTTTAGCTGCAAGCACTGACCCAGAGAAAAAGGCACTGAAATATTGAGATTGCTGAGCTTAACCTATGGAAAAAGAATAAGCTCAGGTGCTGAAAACTGACTCAGATATTTTCAATTTTCCTGCCAGAGTGAGAACTATTTGCACAGATGAACAAATTACAGAGGAGATCCAAAGTAATGTAGAAAGGAATAAGCTTCTTTAATATATATCAATTTCTGCTTGAGGAACAGTGACATTCAGTTAAATATCTGAGCTGTCTGTACTGCTTTTAAGCCCAGATAATGTGGAGAAGAATTTGGCGGGCGTCAGCTCTTTTTGTCTCGCTAAACTGCTGAGAATCTTGGGGTAGGACAGAGAGGAAGAAGCACTTGGGGGAAAATCTAGGGCAGAGGAAATGGTAGAAGTGTCCTGCGACAGCTGTGGAAGAGAACGGTTCTTCCTCTGCATGAGCAATATCTGCCTTTCCCATTTGTTTATGCTGGTTGTTATGTTCACATACACTCAGGAGAGGGAGAGAGACGTTCCTATGGGTGTATGTGTATATAAATGCACACGCACAAAACAGCAGTTGTCTATACTGCATACAGAGTGGTTTTGGGACCAGTTTCTAAGTGGTTCATGGTATGTTTGTGGTCGAAATGAGTAGCAGCATAAGAATTTTAGAGTTGTTTTGTAGTTTGTTTTTTTTCTTTCCTATATGAAAAATGAAAAGATTAGCCTGTCTTGGAAAGGACCGCTTTTTGTCTCAGGGAGCTACCCAGCTGTCCCTCTTCAGAGATGACAAAAACTTAAGTTTTGACTGACTGATTAGAGATGGAAGATTGGGGGTCCTAGCTTACTGTAACAAATTACTGCATAATGTTATTATACAGGTTCCCGTAGGATGCATGCCAGCCAAAGACCCAGAAGAGATCTTTCAGCAGGATAAGAAGGGGCCCTAGTTCTTCAATCCTAGACAAAGAGCTCCAAAACCAGGCATAACATAGAACTGACAATAAATAATTCCCTAATATTGTTTTAGATTTTTATATGTTTTGCCTAGTTGTTACACCTAAATAGCTGCATTGTCCATAGTCTTGAATATATGATCTCAGAAGGACACCACCATTTGTGTCTTTGTGTAGATCATGCTTTTATAAGACTGCTTTGATTGCCAACTGTAGTCGGAACCTCATGACTTAAATTTGGATACCGCTGCTTCAGAGAACATAGCTTATATATTAAACAGATATTTGGAATGTGTAAGGATGGGATAGCCAGGGAGGAGGATTCGAGGAGGAACTGGGGGGGGAAGAATGAAGATGTTAGTTGTTGCAGATGATTTCATTGTATTGGGACTGATTCAATGGTATTGATGAAACCGAGTCAGTCTTTACCACAATAGGAAAACTTGGTACAGTTTTCCTGCTTTACGCAAGGATTGTGAGAGGAGCCTTGTAACAGCATTGTTTGGAGGAAATTCCTGTCCAGGGCATTCACTGGGAGTGATACTGGCTGGTGAGCACAAACTTGTGTCATTTTTATTTTAGGTATTTCAAATTTGAGGAACATCCAGTGCATTTGCAAACTTGTCATTCTACAGGTGTAACTAGCGCTGTCTACATACTCATTCCAGGTCTGGCAGATGACTATTTTGCCTGTCACCCTCTCTGTGATCCAGATCTGAACCTCTTAGGAAACCAAAAATCAGCCTCCAGTTTTCCCCCACTTTCTAATTCTGCATGACTAAGTCATTCAGCATGTTATAAATACTGTTGCTCATTCCGAATACACTGGTTACCTGTGCACCAATCCTTGTCAGCATATTTCTGCAGTGGAGTGGTTTGACATTTGGTAATTGGCGTAAATTAAATCACTTGAGTCACAGTATTGCCCTTTCTGCATACACCCACACCTATCTGTTCCATAGGTGCAGCTTACGGGAGATATATGAATGATAGCAAACGCCCTGCCGGCAAACAAGGAACTTGTATACACTCAGAAAATAGGTATTGATGCAGAATTTATGTCAAAATAAGAGGAAGTTGAAGAGTGCACAGAAGTATTTATTCTGTGTGACGGTAGGAATCCTCCAGAAATTCTTTTCAACGAGGGGATTACAGTGAGGAAAACAGTGAAAACATGTCAGGAGTAGATTTTTGTCTGCTGATGGATATATTTATGACTGAGACACGTGGCTTGATGTCTGCATGGCATTTTCTGCATTTGCAAATGAGAGCCCTGTGCTCTGGCTTAGCTTTGCTGTAGGGCACAAAGTCAGTCGCTTCCCTGCAACTCAGCTCTTTCCCATCTAAAGAAGGGGAATCAGTAATCGCTCAATGTTCTTAAAGCGCTTTTTTTGTTTAAGAAAATATCATAATCCCTGCTGCTGTTCTCACAAGTGGTCTATAGAATAACAGTGAATTAAGGATTTGTAGAGGTTACGTTTGTAGAGATAGATTTCCCTGTGCTTACCGTTTTCTGCAATTGACTGTTTGATTTCTGCACCTGCAATTACTTCTGGGTGTAGCTCAAGCTGCTTAAATGGCTTGAGAACTTGATTGGGCTCAGGTATCGGGTATTTAGGTGTCAAAGTATTGTGCCTTATGCCTTCACACAGCAGCACCCAGAAAACTGCAAGTGTAGTCAAAGAGATCGGCTTGAAAACCAGGTCCTCGTGGTTTACGCAAGTGTTGGCTGAAACAGGGAAACGGAGCATGAAGGAAGTTCTATTAGATGAACAATTCCTTTTTGTCCATTTTAGGCTGTGTTGTGCTGGAAGTGAAGTCCATCTCCTCGTTCTGTTGGATTGCCCTTACTCAAAGGCATGTAATTCTCTGGGCAGCTTAATGCCTTTTGCGACCTGTGCCGTTGCCTCGTATGGCTCTGAATCACTCGTGCGGCGGTACTACTTACCGAGCACGCCGATGATCTGTGGGTCAGTCTTAGCTCCTCGTAACTGCAGGTGTCTCAGCTCAGATTGTAACCTGAGGTTTTTCGGAGCTCTTCCGTCTTGGCTTACTCTGCCTTCTTGCTGTGAAGGGAATATTATACTTTTTTTCAAGGAAAGTAGAGTGAGATATAGGCGCTTAACGCCTTTGAAAAACTTCCCTTATTCCATAGCTTTCAATGAAGATAAAAATTCAGAGTTTGAGGGTTGCAGGTTCAACTCTTTCACAGCTTTGAAGAGCCTTTAGGATTTCACCAGTCTTAACTTGTCCCTTGGCATGCTGGGGAAGTGGGGTTTGTGCTCGGCAGGTATTGCTTTTGCTGGATCCCAGAGCAGGATCCGTACGCTTACCCACCTCCCCAAACCTTCCTCTGTCAGTGCAGCGGTGCTGGCACTGGGGCTTAACAAGAGTGGGCTGCACCCTGGGAATAAACTGAGGGTCTTCTGCCTCTGTTAGAATATCTTCTTGAGTGTCACCGAGTAAACATGTAGTGTTATCGTTACTTTTCTTTCGTGTCTATGAATCTTCACAAAAAATGTAGTCCCTTTTCTCACGGCAAGAGACAAATGAAACAAGTTAGAGGTGTTAAAAATAAATGCATACAAGGGCATCGCTTTCCAGTCACATGGGTTTATGTTTCCCTGTTTGCGCAGATTTCACTGTTGTCCATCCTGAATTAAAAAAGACAAAGGGAGACCTGCTAACGAGTTTTATTTCTTTTCTCAGTATTTCTGGCTTCTTGTGCTCTCACGAGGTTTGGTTGGCATCGGTGAAGCAAGTTACTCCACTATTGCACCAACCATCATAGGAGACCTTTTCACCAAAAACACAAGGACCCTTATGCTGTCTGTTTTCTACTTTGCAATTCCTCTTGGCAGGTAAGTGACATAATACTTCTTTCATCTGGGTTTGGCTTTGCTCTTAAAGTAAGATCACACAGCTCTTAAGTTGCTAATGATGATAGTTCTTCTGTCTTTGGTTGGAATGGTTTAGACAGGAAAATACTGTGAGCAGTGACTAATTAGTTGCAGGAATTGGATTATTTTTCTAGCCCTGTTACTGGTTCATGTGTGACTTCTGGGAACTAGTGGGAAGGATTTCTTTTTTTTTTTTTTTTGTACAGCAATGGGGTGGAAATGGAATCAAAATATTTTAGCTGACTTTTTTTTTAGCATTATTAAACTACCATTTTGAATAATGTTATGGTGGTTCTTTGAATCATTGCTTCAATTCATATGAGGTCTGGGCCTTCTTTAGACAGTGTCTTTCAGGTTACTGTGAAATCAACATCTCTTAAGACACTGGGCTGAGTTTTCAAGAGTGAGCAAATGGGTACCTGCTTCTATGTGACAGTCTAAATATCAGAGGTTTCAAGAGGAGTATGCTATATAAGATACACAATTTGAAATTTTGACTTGAAAAAATATTTTTAGTTTAAGCTCAAATTCTGCCCAACCTTGAATTTGGCCAATCTGACTGTTTGGAAAATGCGGCTAAGCCAATCTTAGATGACTTGGTAGTTGTAATAGCAGTGGCCAGTCCATTTTAGTGCTATTGCCACAGAAACAGCAATTAGGAGAAATTGTGAAGCCCAGTGTGTAGACAACAAGGCTGAAGAGAGAAACTGTAATGATCATTCACACTTCGTCTTAACGCAGAGCAGTGGAGGACAGCTAAGCCCGTGGAAGCCTGATGAAGAGACAGACTCAGATTTGGAGTAGTTATTTCCTCTGGCACTTTCTTTCAGTTGAGTTCCCTTATCAGCCCAATGCAGTATCTGATTGTTGGGACAGGAGAGAATCTGTGCTTTTTATTTTTTTTTAAATTTTTATTTTGTTTAGATAGCGGCTGACCCTCTATTGTGAGGTTGTAGGCAGGGTGGGTTTTTGCATAGTTTGCATACCAAATCCCAGAGTTGGACAACATCCTGTGCAAAAGTGGCATCACGGGTTCATTTCCAGCAGGGAAAACATGGGCAGCAGTTTAATCCCCCCCAACTCGGGGAAAAACAACTGGTTTAGGGTGGTGTGTTTTACAAGTTAGAGCACTCATCCCCGAGATAAAATTCGCAAACTTCCCTTTGCACTTGAGGAAAAAGAGATAGCCAAGTCCCTAACTGGTGAAAAGAATATGTTCCGAAGAGGGCCAAGGATGCCAAATATTTACATAAAGAATTCAGTGAACTATGGCTAGCAAGTAATGACAAATACTCTTCCTGTTGAGCGTGATTCTGGGGCTTAATTATCTCAATATTCAACAGAGGTGTGGATCCATGGCTTGATTTTGGGGCCCGTCCGTGTAAAAAGCCCAGTTTTGGGATGATTATAGATGGCAACCTCCAAAGCTTAGCAGTCTGTTCAGTAGAGGCGTGTGATGGCTGACAGCTGCCCCGCAGCAGTCCTGGCAACTTTTAACCAAGGCAATCTGAGCAACAAATGCAGCAGTTTTGAAAAAAGGATATTCACATCTGTTCAGTTCACTTTGAGAGAAGAGTGGCTATGTTCACCTTTTTCTAGTCTCTTGTGAGCCACCTTTTGTTACCAGAGTGTAATTGTTAGCATTTGGATGAAGGTCCTGTTGGTCCTTCATCTTCAGTGGGGATTTCCAAGTTTCAGGTCTGATATTTTCCCATCAGACTGTCTTGCATATTCTTCTCGGTTTTTCTTACAAGCTTATGGAAAATTGTCTCTTCATGGATAATTAGAACCAAGAACTTTTAAAAGACAAGAAAAAAAATCTAATGATGGAATATGGTGTGTCCTTGAAGGGCACTTATTAACTGAGAGCTTGAACATAAAATTGTGGAGTATTCATATTACTGCACAGAAAGGCCTGATGTAGAAATTAAATTGGGAAATAAATTCTTTTTGAGGCTTTCTTTCCATGCGCTGTAGATTGAAAGGTCAGCTGTAAACTTGAGATCAGTGTCCAAATTTCCATCAGATTTGAGCATTTTTAGATCAACAGTGCTGGGAAGAGTTACATATTAGCCACCATCTGCTTCATCTCCCCTGTTTCCTCCTGCAGAAGAGAGCCTAGGACAGGCAATCGATTGTGCCTTTTTTTGTCTTTGTTTAAGAACAGTTGCGATTATGTTAGCCTGTTAAAGCTCTGACTGACTCTCATCTTTGTATTTTTTGCAGCGGTTTGGGATACATCACTGGCTCAAGCGTGAAGCAGGTTGCTGGAGACTGGCACTGGGCGTTGCGGGTAAGCCACTCTTAATAACTTCATAATAACAGTTCCATCGGTCGATCGGTGTTAGGAAGAGTTCTATCACACAGTTCACCAACCTGTTATTACATATAGAAGGTAAAGGATTGGAAATTACACCTACAGGTATTAAGTGTATAGTGGATGCATTCTCTAAGCAAATGGGAAAAGTATGTGGTTTTGGCTCGTTCTACTTGTTTTTTTCCCCTACCTGGGACCATGAATTTTCCAATCACTTTATTGTCAGTCAACCATGCTTTCTTGATGGGAATGGGAAGACAAGACATTGGCCTTAAATCAACTGCACAGTCTTTCAGTCCCCTGCTGTCAAGAAACTCTGAGAATGGCTTCCTGCTTTGAGGAAAAAACACTTTGTTCCAGTTTCCGCTTGTTTTTCTGCCCTGAGACAGTCGGTTTCCTTCTATTTTAACCTCTTGGGACCTTGATAAATGTGTTGAAAAGATAATACACTCCAATCACATAGGTACAAACAGATCCTGCACACAAAGATGTCTTGAAAGAGCTGGGAGGAAGTGGCCCAGCAGAACTGTTCTCTGACCTTTGGCAGCCTGGGTGGCATGAGCCCCTGTGAGGTGCATTCTCCAGCTCTGACACTTCATGAAGACAATGAATCTCATGAAGCTCCGGCCAACACCGTTTATAACAGCAGGTGATGAAATACATGGGTTCTCTTCTCAAGCAAATGTACCCTTCTGTGTCACGAGCCATTCCCTCCCTCTCCAGCAAGGGTAAGCAAAGCCAGGAAAATCACAGTGAACGGCTCATCTGCAGCTAGGAGAGTAGAGAGTATTTTCCAGCTGTGAACTTGAAATGAAAAGTTTAATAACCTACAGCTTCACACTAAGAGGATGGCTACCTCATTCAGTAGCATGAAATACTTTAAGGGAGAAAAATAACTTTTGAGGAGAGGCCAGCAGAAGGACCAAGAAACCCCAAAGCCTCTCCTTCTGATCAGTGGGCTTTAATGGGGTTGATAAATTGGAGTGCTCTTATGTTTCTGTCTGTAAAACCCAAATGATTAATTTGTGCAAAGAAATCCTCACTAGCATCTTTCTCTTCAGAGGAAGTTTCCATAGGTATCCTGAGAAATCCAGGCTATCTGCAAGACTGTACCCCTTATGAAGTCATGATTTCCACTATAAATGACGCATTGATGCATCATTCCCTGACTGTGCAAAATCGTAGGGAATCTGACAAGCTGCACACTTCTACAATGGTTGCTTTGGACAGCATTGCTTAGTTTTTGTTGTCAAACAGCACAAGTTGAAAGCTTCCAAGCATCAGTGTAAAGCAGCCTCTGTCCCTGTGGCAATTATGTGCTCTTGCAAGACGTGAAAGATTCCCCTCGGTGATGCTTCCCTCTGTGATCTCTCCCATGGTCTCCAAATCCAGGAGAAGGTCAGGAATAATCTGTACTTCAGCAGGCTGAAAAAGACAGAAAGGCACGTTGGCAAGCGGCAGCTTTGCCTCTGAATCTGGCAGTAAAGTCAGTGTTTCATTGGAGCATTACTGAGTATCAATGGATATCGTCCTGTTGGAGGATTAAGCCCTTAGATAAAAATCAAAGAGATTTTAAATCATATAGCCCTAGAAAATCCCAGCATTTCCTTTTTTTTTACCAGTACTGTGTCTTGTGTTCAACTGTAATAAGGATACTGTACCAGGCTTCAATTATCCCTGGATGAGGGATTTTCCCAGCTTTCCAGTTCTGAAATATTTTTGTCTTCCCTTCCCTAGAAGAATTCTGGGTTTGTTGCCTTTGACATGAAACACTGCTCTATGTGTAAAGGCCATTCTTAGGTTATTATTGGAAGCATATTTTTTTTGGAACAGGAATTTATTTTTAAAATGGCATGTGTAGAAGAGATGATAGTTCGGTGGAAATCCGTGTTCCTATTTTCCTAACGGAGCTATTTTCCATTCTGACAATGATGGAATTTCAGTGTCAAAACAAGAAGCATGTTTGTAGCTTGCAAAACACTGTGGAATCTTTGTATTTTTGTCTAGTGATTGGGAGAAAGGACTGGAAACTGGGAAACCTAACCCTTGAATGTGTCCTTTTCCTACCTTCCAGCCTGAATTTTCAATGTTTCTTGGTCTGCTGTACGCTGAGGTAATCCGAGGAAGCTGCCTGAAAATGGGAAACCATTGTGGGTTAGCTGGAAGGGGGATGCATGTCAAGCAAGGGTTTTCAAAGCCAGTATGCTCCCTACATCCAGAAATCTTTCACCTGACCTCATTGCCTTTAAAAGGCTTGTGCACTCTCCCAGAAACTGGTTGGTGTCTTAGCCCAGCTGGGAGCAGGTTTCCAAAGAGTGAAACATCACTGAAGAACTGTATTTAGATAAACCTTGGTGCTTTAATAACACAAAGAAATGGACTGCCTTAATCAGAGTATTCTCAAAGCTGCATGCTTCCAGAGCGAGATAAGAGAGTCCGGGGAATGACAGGGAGGAAGGAAAGGAGCAGATGCCTCTGTGCTTACAGATTCCGGCTAACTGTAAAGAATCGAGTCGCTGATACGAAGTTATGTGATCTACTTTTGACTGGCTTGTCAAAGCCAACCCTGCTGACTCCTGTGCTAATTCCCTGTTCCTTTCTTGCAGGTATCTCCACTCCTGGGAATGATAACAGGGACACTCATCTTGATATTTGTACCTGCTGCTAAAAGAGGAAATGTTGAACAACTTGGGGGACAGCTGAAGGCTCGGACCTCATGGCTGAGAGACATGAAAGCACTGATTAGGAAGTAAGAGCCCTCTAGTAAAAAGCATGCTTTGCCTCTAACGCTTCATTGGAACGTCCAACGACCTGTACTTCTTGGCACTGCGAGACTGGAAAGGGACAACATGCAGGCAGTTGCAGGAAGCTTAGGCTGTGGGCTAGGAAAGAAAATCACAGTTACATTTTCACAAGGTGTTGACTGCAGTGACAATGATGGATTCCAACTTTTGCTCTAACCTTTCCAAGACTGAGATCTAAGAGAGAGTCTGCTTTGTTTGGCTCATACTTCACACAAATCAACGCTTTTGAAGTGTAGAAATTGCTGTGTTCCTGTATTAATTGTTGTGCCACTGTTGTTTAGATGCTTAGATCCTTTTTCTTCCTTGAAAGAGCTACTCTGCTGAGGGGAAAAAGGGAGTTAAATGCCAGAGCAATTTAAGAAGAGAAAACACACAAAAGCTTGCAGTACATGGCAAGTTTAAATATATATGCTTATACAACCACATGTGACTGAATGCACAAGCACTGAATGTGCTTGTATATGTGCACAAAAGATCGCATGCTCACCAGTGTTTAAGCAGCTGTACTTGCTTCCAGAAAGCTTGCCTGTGAGTGTGCAAATACTTGCACTTGTGAATTCAGTGTTACGTAGGAATTCTGATGGGAAAGTTATGGTGTCCTTCATTTTTAGAACTGCTGGCTAGAATGCCTTCCTGGTATTGTCCTCCAGTATCAAAGGACTATGAAAAGTGACGATGGTTAGTTTATCAATATTTCTAAATTACTTATATTTGTAGTTATCCAAATAGTAATCGTATGGTGGCATGTATGGGGAGGGAGAAGTGAAACTGGTCATCCAGGTAAACAGGTGATATTACAGTGAAAGCCCTGTAATTCACACATCACGTCGTAGTGGCTGAGTACTGATTGTCTTCTGAAATGGTCCTATGAAAAATGGTCTCTATGAAGCACCTCTGAATAGTTATGTACATTATTATCAATGGAGCATCATGAATGAAGAAATATTCTATGCCTCCTGTTCTCCATCGCTTTGTACCTTGTATTATCTCTGCCCCTTGGCAAAGGGAGGTGGCTGGTATGGGGGAACACTGTGTTTTGTCACTGAAGCACTGACACCTGTCCTGGGGCTCGTGCTTTTTCATTTTTCCCGCTAAACCTTCTCTTGGTTTTGTCTCTTGCATCTCCGCAGCCGCAGCTACGTGTTCTCGTCATTGGCCACCTCGGCCGTCTCCTTTGCCACAGGAGCACTTGGCATGTGGATCCCTCTCTACCTTCACAGGGCACAGGTGGTGCAGAAGACAGCAGAGACCTGCAGCTCACAGCCCTGCAGCACCAAAGATAGGTGAGATTCATACTCCGCTGCTTTAAAGAGGGGGAAGAGGAGGTGGGGGCTTATTTACCAGAGGAAACAGGCAAGTCCCAGGGAGTCAAGTTACTAGAATGTCTGCAATTTCCTCTTGGTCTTTGCAACAATGATAGGAAATGCTGGGGTTGTAAACTAGGTTTTATTTCTCTTCTTCATTGCATGAAGTCAAACCAAGGGAGAAGCAATGACCTCCGCTCTGTCTTAGTTCCCAGGCTATGGTGTAGAAGTAGAAAAGAGACTTTTGTCTTTGCCATAGGGGATGTTTGGAGAACTGAAAATTTGGTTCCTTGAGACCCATACTTATCTGGGCTAGGGGCAGAATAAGCTGGCAGGTTGGGTAGCCACAGTGGTGGTTATAATACAGAGATTGGATGGGTTCCCCTAAAAGGCTGCAGGGACTAACCCTGAAGACTTTTATTTCTGTGTGAGGGAGGACTCCACTGTGTTTCATTGCTCTGTGTACTACTGTGTTTGCTCGAGTTCTGCTGAAGAATGGTGCAGAGACGCTTTGGTCTGGAGTGCTTGATGTTGTAGAGTGGTTTGGCTTTTCAGTCCCAGTTATATAATATCACTTACAGCGCACAGGCTATGAAAAGTAATTCATCATTTTGTGCTTCTGTATGAATGCACACAACATAAAATGCTAAAAAGGCATTTCTCCAGGTGAATAAAAGATATGAAAAACTGCCTTTTGTCAGCTCTTTTGCTTTTTAGCTTGTGAGGGAAAAATAACACTAGGAAAACCCTCTTGCTGTAGCTGACACAATCCCATCTCAAGTCAACTACTTAGTGGTTTGGAGTACCATCAACTGGAGTGTCCAGCGGGCAGTCTCAGTCTATTCTGCAAAAATGCAGTGAGCAGAAAATACAGCTCCAATCTGACTGCCCATCTGCTGTTTACAAAGAGAAGTTTTCCACTCCGTGATGACACCTATGTTTTGAGCTGCCCTGGAGCTACTGTAATGTAGTTGCCAAAGACTCTGTAATCCAAGCCCTGCACATACAATACGGGGAATCTTTGGCAGCTCCTGGCTCTTTAAATTTAAATTAACACATTTCAAATGTGTAACCTAACAGCAAAAGAAGGCTGCTTTGAAGTGGTCTGAAAGGAGTTAGAAAGTCGAAGTATGTTGAAAGTCACTGGTATTTAGATCCTTGTTGGGTTTCCTTTCCCTTAAGCTTCCTAGTGCCTCTTCTGTCCCTGATTTCCCCTCACACGATCAATGTGCAGGTTATTACTTAGTTTTATGCCTACATAATTAGCTGTACAATGCACTTTATAGGAAGCTCAGTTCCACACAAAGAAGCAGCATGAGCCCTTTGCACCTCTTTGCATGTTGATCAATGCCTGTGTACAATGCTGAATTTCATATGCTGGGTTTTTCTTAATTGCAGAGGAAGAGCGCTAAAATCACAAGCACTCAGCAGGGGAGATCATTTGTTTTATTTTAAATTTGCAAAGCCAATGTGGAGATTTCCATTAGTCAATTTACCTTAATAATTTGTTCAAAGACCATGCCCATTTTGGGGAAAAACTGAAAAAAAACCAAACAACCCCCTTTTTTTTTTTTTTTTTTAATAGCTTGATCTTCGGAGCAATCACATGCTTCACTGGTTTCCTGGGTGTGATCACAGGGGCAGGGGCAACCAAATGGTGCCGGTTAAAAACCCAGCGAGCTGATCCTCTTGTCTGTGCTGTTGGCATGCTAGGATCAGCCATCTTCATCTGTCTGATCTTCGTTGCTGCCAAGAGCAGCATTGTGGGAGCCTATGTAAGTATAATCCTTTGCACATGCCAGTCTCACTCTTACTGTCTCTACCAAACTCCTTAGAAGACTGTGTGCATTGTCCCCTGCAGAAAGCCTGAGATGTCAGACTTGCTTTTTCCCTTCTGAATGTCCTTCATTTTGCCCCTCGGCATTTTGACACTATCTAGATGTGTCTGGAGGGAAAATGGTATCTCAACTGCTTATCAGAATTCAGAGCTGGGGATTTAGCGCATGCATGGAAACCCACAGTTCCCTGCCTTTGGGTTGTTCCATCTATACCTCTATCCATACTTCTATTGCTCTTACCTAATGTTTTGGTACAGGAAAATTGGCCGCTTCCCTTGCGATAAGGATATTGTAGCCGCAGTGGTACCAAATTATAATTACAGTATAATTTGTCCGTGGGCATGCTTTTGGCTACCTATAAGTACCGTTAAGTTCCTTAACTAGGTATCTTGTTGCAGACCAATATTAATTAGCATGTAATTTCAATTTGTTGTTATCTGTATTACTGTAGCACCTGGAAGTCCTAGTCATAGCCCAGGAATCCACAATACTTGTTGCTGCACAAATGCAAATTAAAATATGTCCCCTCCCTGAGTGTTTATAATCAAAGTCTACAAAAAGACATCAGAATGATCCAGACAAATAGACTGAAGGGAAAAAAAACAAACCTCAAGTATGATAATCCAGCCTCGGGCTAGAATCTTGCTTTCAGTAAAGAGTAGAAATCCACGTACGCTGAACAGGTCCCAGGTTCCCTTTCAATGCAATAGAGAGAAGCCTGAGACTTGGAAGAAGCTTTTGAAGGCAAAGCATGAGATGGTTGTAGTGGTGGGATAATTTCTGAAAGCCCACGCTTAGCTGCCACACAGCAATACACCCTCCACCCAGTAAGGCGAATTCATTTACAATTAACCAGCCAACCAATCTACTGTGGTTCCTTGTTTCACTATATTTCTAGCACTAGCCTAGCTGTAGTTATTTTCTGAGCATTTCAATAGCTGCCATCATTATGGGGAAACACAAGAAGAAAGAGTGAAAGTTTTAAAAAACACCAAGACAGGACCAAGAATGCCTACTCTGGCTGTTTAGAAAGTGTCAGAAGGAGATTTGGTCCTCTGGTTTGTGGCATGGTCTAGAACTGACCTTTGATTCAGGAGAAAAATGATCACCTCGGACAACTTGAGAGAGGGTGTTACTGGTTGGCGAAGCATTAACCCTCCTTACCTTGTCAGCCATCTCCAAGTGAAGAGATCTGTCCCACCCCTCCGCCTGCCCCTCCCCTCCACCTCTTGGTGCAGCCAGACCTGTGATTTTTCTCCTTTCTCCAACCTGGTGACAGATGCGTTCATTTGTAGTGTTTGGTCTCTTTATGCACAAAGTCCTCCGTTTCTAAGCTGGAAATAATGTTTTCAAAAATTTTGCAACAAAAGGTGGTTATTGGTCTCATATTCATCTTTTTTTCTTAAGTTTTGGGGGTTTTAATAGCCATGTGACTAATCTGCATTGTGTAAATATGTAAATGTAAAATGGTATTATTTAACCAGTCTTAGAAACAATTTATTTTATTATGCGTGAGCAGTAAACCTAATAAAGAGTCAATGATTTGCAAAGTATCCCCTTTTTGCATACCCTCTCCATCTGCGTATGGAAGGGGGTATGAGGAATATAAGCGTGTTTCCTGATGCTGTTAGGCTGAAGCATACGTTTGTTGCGGGTAACGCTGCCTCTCTGTAGCCCTAAATAGGCTTTCTCCGCTGCTGGCAACCTGGTGCGTAGAAAGCAGATTAAGAGTCTAGTTAATGTGCCGATTGGGGAATTGGAGATCTGAACTCTTTTTATAGATTCCACATGGGACAGTGGGCAAGTTATTTAACTTCGTTTTGCTGCTGCAAAAATGAGGATTCTTAACTTAGAAAGGGTCAGAGTAGCTTAGATCATTAATGTTTGTAAGTGAGCTGGAGTTAGACGATCTGTGGCCAAGCCATCCACTGTAAATTAATATAAACAGTGAACAATGACATGACACCTGTTGCTGTTTAGCATTACTGGTGCTAACCCAACTGAGAGAACAGGTCTACATTGCAGCTACCGATGTCTCGTAACACACGGTATTATCACAGTGGTGCTATATATCAGTTGAATTGACTTTTCAAGGCAAGTTTCAAAAATGAGCCCTTGTTTATCCATGCCGTTCAATGCTATTGCAAGCTTATAGACTTCCAGAGTGTTTAATTCCCTTGTATTTTACTAGGAGACCTGTCTTGCAAGGCTGCATGGTGTAGCAGTTTCTCATTACTTTCTGTTTTAAGTCTCATTGGTCCAAAATGAAGGAGAGACTGTTCATTGACTCTGGACTTGGAACACCTAGATATGGTGGACAGCATGATGGGACTAGATTACCTTCTTTATCTTAAAATCCATGATAATAGCTTGTTCTGAAAAGAATACAGTAAAATTTATGGGTGGATTTTCTCATCTCTGATAGCTTCCTTGGCAGCTGTGTCCTGGCTTTCATCCTGGAAGAGCATCCCTGAGTTCTATATACCAGTGAAAGGCAAGAGCAATGTTCTAGTCTGTTCCCTAACGTGGTGGTATTTGCAGACCTTCTGTACTGTGGCTGTCCTTAGACTAGACTTCTGTCATCGATCATACCATGCTAAAATTGAAGGGTTACTGTTTTTCAACCCCTCATTGGCTCAGAGCCTTAAAATTATCACTTCCAAGCATTTAGATGGATCCCCGTGGGATGGTGTTCTCTCACACTGAGCTGTGGTGGCCACCAAATCACCATCTCCCTCCCTGCTCTAGTTAACAGTTGAGAATCTTTAATGTCAACTGATACTGGCATCAGCTTAAATGAAGTGTTCAGCACTCCAGCAAGAATCAGCAGAGCCCTTGCTTTTTAATTTCTTGGGTTTTGGGGTGTTGGGGTGTTGGTTGGTTTTTGTTGGAAAAGACCTGCATATCCATTAGCATGATCACCTTGTCCCTTAGAGGCTGTCAGCTGTCTGCTCTCTTCCTCCCCTGAACATGCGTGCTTTTTCTCCCTTACTCAGTCCTGTCTTGCAGGTGGTTTTGGTCCCTGAGGGCAGCTGCTATTCCAGTTCTGGAGCAGCCGCTCCTACCTGGAGCAGGTAGACAGACTTCTTTTTTCCATCCAATCTTTTCATACTGATCCAGTAAATTATTGGCGGCGGTAGAAGTGACTGGAAAGGTGGGATAAAACAGTATTCTGTATCCTTCGGCTGCCCGGACACTTGTATTTCTATCTTTTACTATCTTGCTTGGCTGTATAGTCCAATCAGTTCTTACTCTGTTTTCCTTGCAGCATGTGGATTTTGTGTGTTGTAGTCCAGCTCCTGAAACAACAATCTGCGTATCTTTAGGTCCCACTCTTTCTGAAACATGTGCTCTTTGAAATGTTGGTTTTCAAACCTGTCTCTTGAAACCAATTAGCTGTATGGCATCATTGTACCACACTGCTCAGAAATTTAAACAGCATATTTTACACTAGTTTAAATCTCCAAATGACTGGAGAGAGATGCTTTGCTTTGCCTTTCTTTTGACACTGTTCCAAGTTCCTGTTGTACCTCAATTTCAACATTTATTTCAATTCCTGAAAGACGTTTTATGATCTTGCAGAAACAGCAAATCCCAGGGTAAAACCTTGCCGTAGAGCTTTTACAGCATCTCAGTCTCAACTCCAGGGACTTTCTGTTGACATGGTGTCGGTGGCTTACCTACTTCTGAGGCATCGATATTGCCCAACACTGAGATGGAGCTAGATGTGCTTCAAACTCAAGAGTACATGTTGGAGTCTTACCCCCCTTTTCAGAGAGAAATACAAATAATGAAGATGTAGACAGATACGCACTTTGCAAATAGGCATGGAAGGAGTTCGTAACCTGCTTAGATCTTACTGTGAGAGCTGCTGGTGTGACCGTTCTGAAACCTACTTTATTTATCATTTGGGGGAATCAGAATTTGCTACCTGATCACAAAAAGAGAAAGACTTGAGGGGGACGTAACCTCTATCAGCTCATCATAGATGAACAACTGGACACCATATGGAGATGGTGAGATATTATGCAACAGAGCTGGATTCAGAAGAGGATTTATCTGTAGAGCTGAAATCTCAGTGTAAAATGAGGCTTTGAAAAGTGTGTGAGGAGTCAAAACCGTGATCATTTTAGGAGCTATTGGTCTGTTCTGGAGGCTGCCCTATTTGCAGTAAGCATCCCTTGAGTCTTTCTCCAGCAGAAATGCCACGTATCCTCGTATGCCTTTTGCAGTGGATGAACTTATTTTTATAAATCCCCATTAGCAGCTGAAGGACAGACTTTTTTTGATGTCAGTATCTTTTGTCCTACTTTTTGATCTTCCTCTTCTTCCTCTTTTCCTTTTACTGGTATCCACATATTAAGCATGCGTTTCATGGAAACACGTTGGATGAAATACACATTCAACAATTCAAAACTGGTGTGCTCTGTTGTAGCATTTCAGTGGTTTATTTGTGGGACTTATGCTGAATTCCTGCAGAAGGGGGCAAGTTTTACTTGCGTGTAACAATTCATATCTGTGTTATGTGTATGTAATTCATATAACCCTAAGGCAAGCAGTTGTCTGTTTGCAGTGCTGTATGAACAGGCAGGGTACGTCAATGCTGCAATCAGAAACGTGATGACATCTTTCCCAAACTCAATTTAATCTGTCCAGCCACTGAACCCCAGCAACAGCAACTGCAAAGCTGTAGTAGGACAGATTTCAGAGCAGGTCCCAAGAGCCCACCTGGGACTCCGGTACGCCCTTGCTATATGACACATGGCTTCGACTCCTGTCAGCACCTTGATTCATTGGATCTGTGTGTCTTAGCTTGGCAGTTGTCATTTCCAGTGAGAGCCAAGTTTAAGGCAGACTAGTGGAGAGTTGGAAAATGGAAAGAGGAGATTTCCTAGCTGAGCAGCTGGGCCATAATGACTGACTCAGGGACCACCGCAGAGAAAGCAGATCCAGTCACAAAAAGAAGGGATAGGGAGGGAGAATGTGTGGGAAACAAAGACAATTTTAGAAACAAATAGAGGAAACTTTCTGTAGGTCAATGCGTAAGACTTGCTAAATAAAGCAAACTATTCCTGGCAGTGACATGATGGTCTGAGGGGTTTAGGTAATCTCAACAGGTGTGTGGGAAAGACAATTGTGGTGGTCACATCATGCCATAGCTGCCAATCTTGCAGTTCCTCCTCCCACCCTAAACCGTCTGTGCAAGGAACGGGGACTGGGGCCGTGGCCATGACTGTCAGTCCCTCAAAGCTCACAAGGACACCACAAAACAACATCCACCTGAATGTTTCCTCAGAGCAAAGTGGACAGTGTATTTCTTGACAGCCTTGTTTCTGTAAAGAATTGTAGCCTAATCAACATAACCAAAACTGAACATAAGACAATTAAAAGGGGACTCTTCAATTACCAGAATCCAAATCTCCATAGCTGTTATCCCCAGCTACCAACGGGGATTCCAGGAGTAATGTTTTCTCTCAAGATGCCACAAAAAGAAATAGGTTAGCTGGGCAAAAAGCAACCTTTGGGGGAAGATTAAAGGAGTTTTGCTTGCCTTCTTACTGGTGGTAATGGAGGAGCTGGTTTTTACAAGTCTGGTTATTTAAGTTGCATTTTGCCTATGTGTTCTGCTCTTCGTAATACACAAAGGAAGAGGGAAACGTGTGTGTGGAAGATATTCTGTCCTTGATTTTTCCATCCTATTGAACCTACATTTCTTTGCTAAATTGTTAACGTACAGTATAAAAGCAAAAGGCTCATGATTGAAATATGAGTAAAAAGCTTTTGATGGAGGCAGTGTTCCTCCAGAAGCCGTGTCATCCTTGCTTCATTGGGTTCAGTTTGATGAACATTTAATGATGAGGCCAGGTTAAATTCATTTCTCCATGACCATTTCCAGTTCTTCAACTGCTATAACTGTTTGTAGAGCCATTTAGTGAACTGCACCAGAGAACTGATTTGGGTTAAAAATAAGTAAAACAAGTCCCTTTTCCCCTCCTTGCCCCCAACAAAAGATTCTTTGCCCCATCTGAGTTTCTTGCTCTGAATCCCTGCTTGGCCCCGTTGTACCAGTACAACCTAGAAGGCAGTAGGAGATGGGAGTGAGCGAGGAGGGAGTACCAGAGGTGGAAGGGATACGTGGTGGCTGTTCATACCACACCACCACAAAAAGAAGCTCTTATCCCACTACATACACGGGGCTTTTAATGTATCTTGTTGACCGTCTCCAGAGTCAAGAGTTATATTTCACTGTAAGACACTGATGTTGCAAAACCCATCTTAAGTCCTGTGTTGACTGTACATAGATATTCTCAATGTAATGCTTGAGTTGGTATAGTGCCTAGACCTATGTCCCCTGCAAAAAGGACAGCAATATGCTATCGGGGAGGGAAGGGATCTTACACGTAGTGGGTAGAGAACCTCATTTGGTTTGCAACAGAGCTTAACACGTAACTTGATTCCTAGTGAAGCAAATGACTCTGTTTTGGGGAGTTGTGGCTGCCTTGCCTTTTCCAGCTGACTTTTTGGGAAGAGTGATGCAAGTACGGAAGCCCAGGGCTGTCTCTTCTCGCTGACTTCTCATGTTCTTCTGTAACTGTGTCAGTCTTTTACTTAGGTGCCTTGTAGGTCATAAATGGTTTACATTAACAAAGCTGCAGGCCAACCCTCTAGAGCTCTGATAAAAGTTTATAGATTTCTAATATTCACGATAAACCACAACAGTAACATGGAGTGTATTGTGTAGGTTTTAGACAAATAAGCAACAAAGGAAAGTTTGTGACAGGTTATTTTTCCTTTGAATGTCAAGTGAATAAATCTTCTCCTTTTTGTGTGTTTTGTTACAACAGATTTGCATTTTTATCGGAGAAACTCTTCTGTTTTCAAACTGGGCTATCACAGCAGACATACTAATGGTGAGTGTACTTTGGAACAGCGTCTTTCTCTTTTGATGGCCAGAGCAGTTTGTAAGCTTGCAAGAACAACCTGAAGTTCGCAATTTCTTCCAAATACCTAGCCCCTACTTCAGCCTTTTCTCCCCCCCACA